TATATTTATCTTTATAATAATAATAAATAATAATATTTATTAAAATTCATTAGAAAAATAAAATTATTTATCAATTGATATATTTATTTTTAATGTAGTTATATGTTGTAAGTTAAAAATTTTTATAATATAACACAGGTAAGTCGCACAAATAAAAAGTTTTATACTAAATATATAATAACATATATACTTTTGTAAAAGGTATTTAAATTTTCAACTAATTTTTCTCATTAATTTTAGACTTTAAGAAAAAAAATTAACAAACACTCGTGTAATACACGGGCGTTGTACTAGTGTGTATATATATATATATATATATATTAATCTTTTAGTAAATGATCTCATTCGTTGTAGTTTCTTAACAATAACAAAAGCTATCTAATTTCAGCCTTGTTTATCAATGAAGAAAAAATATTTTCTACCCTTGTACTTATTCTGTTATTCACCATAGGAAAGACCGCCCTTAGTTAGCTACTGCCTAATCGAAACTTCTCATATCTAATATACTAGTGTTAGCATCTAGTGCGATGCACGGGACATAGAATATAAAATATTTAATTATCAAATCTATATGATAATATGTCAATTCTATTCGACACAACATATCATGTCTGTAATAATTTAATATTTATTTAAATAGTTTTATTTTTATTTTTTCAATTTATTTTTGTAGGTATGGATTTTGTTAGTTATTAGTTTATAAAATATTATAAAAGTGTAATATTCTTTTAATAATTTAATTAAAAAATAATTTATAAAATAAAAAGAAGAAGAAGACTACTCCTATAATTTGTATTAAAAAAACTAAAATAACAATATATGACAATAAATTTTATAATAAAATAAATATTATATGGTGAACAAAAATATGTAAAACTGTTTTTTTTTATATCAAGGTATATATATAAATACTAAAATCAAATTTATATTAGTATAAACATTTCAGCAAGATAATATATTAATAAATTAAAAAACTAGGGCTAATAGAGCAGAAATTCTATGGCACCACATGTGGCACCATATTATGGGGCCACAACATGATGTGGCACATTATGATTGGTGCAACAACATGATGTGTGATAGTTGTGGCACCAATTATAATGTGTCACATCATGTTGTGGCACGATAATATGGTGCCACATGTGGTGCCATAAAAAGACTGGCTAATAGAGGCAGGTTTACAACGTTGATTAAGAAAAATAAAAAATATATAGTCCAATTCTATTATTCTTTCATGCCTAAACAATAAGACTCTATTTAAATGACTCACATGTCAGACTATATGAAAATGACTCATTTAACATCTCTGCATCGTACGAGATACGTATGGATTGAAGTAGAAAAAGAAAATCAATATTATGTAAACTATGTGAAGTTTGACTCAAATTTTGCAATTTTTTGTGCAGTGTACAAATTCGATATTTCTACTTGATCATTATGGTCGAGCACGACCTCCTTTCGCCATCAGAAAGGGCAAAAATGTCCTTCCACACAAAAAAGCACTAAATCCAGATAACACCTTCTCGATTGTTTCAACTTTCAAATCTTTTTTTT